CAGGCATAAATTCTCACCAACATGGGGTGGCACGGTGGCTCAGTGCTTAGCATTGCTACCTCACAAAGCCAGGGACCCGGGTTCAATTCCACCCTTGGGCAACTGTGTGGAGTTTACACATTCTCCCCGAGTCTGCGTGGGTTTCCTCCGGGTGTTCCAGTTTCCTCCCACAGTCCAAAGATCTTCAGGTTAGGTGGATTGGCCAGGCTAAATTGCCTGTAGTGTTCAGGGATGTGTAGATTAGGTGGGTTATAGGGGGATGGGTCTGGGTTGGATGCTCTGAGAGTCGGTGTGGATCTGTTGGGCCAAAGGGCCTGTTTCCACACTGTAAGGGTTCTATGATTCTAGGATTCTATGAACATCTTCACTTTGGAAACCCCTGGATGGCCCTGGTGGAATTCAGCTAGTATATTTGCTCGGGAGAATCACTCTTGCTCCCCTTAATAATATGGCGTCCTTTACTGTGGTTTGGTCTCTCCGGGTCCAAAAAGATTTCAGTTCTGGTTGTGACAGCCCTTTAGTTTCCCCCATCACCACCAGCTGTTTCAGTTTTTCCAGCACAGGATCTTTCTGCATCCAGAGTCTGATACTATCAGCTGTGACTGGAAGCATGTCCAGAAAATTTAAAGCCATTGTGGACCCATCTGGTCGCAGTACCACTAGTCGTATACCTGGCAGCAGGAAGTGACTCAATGCATCTGCATTTGCTACTTGGCCTCCCGAATGGTGTTCCGGCTTCTAATTCACTTAGTATTACAGCCCACCACTGAATTCGGCCTGAACACTGAACACTGCCTTGTCCTCTTTAAGTGGATCTAGCAGCATCCATTATTAATACAAATTTGCGTCCATTGAGGTATTGGTGGAACTTGCTGACTCCAAATCTAACTACCAAACCTTCCTTCTCTATCTGAGTGTATAGATGCTCTGCATTAGCCAAAGTCCTGGATACATACGCTATTAGACGTTCCTCTCCATTCGGCTGCCCATGAGCCGATACTACTTCAATGCCATATGGGGAGGCTTCACATGTCAATACCAGATCTCGCTTGGCCTCATAGTGTGCCAACACCTTAGAGGATGATAGCTGTTTCTTACATTTCTCTATAAGCTATGGCTTGGCTATGTGACTGTTTCCATGGCTGACCATTTTTTAAGAGTTGATGCAAAGGTGCCAGGATGGAGGCCAGGTTATATATGAAGTTTCCTTAATAATTCACCAGCCCAGGGAAAGATCTTAACTCCAGTCCAATCATGGGAGCTGGGGCATCTTTGATCACCCTCACTTTATCTTCTAACACCAGTAACCTGGTCTTGTTAAATCTGTAGCCCAAGTAGCTCACTTGGGATGCCTGGAACACACATTATTCCCTTCTTAGGCATACAGTCTCCAGGAACAAATGTCTAAGGACTATATCCAATTTCTCTAAGTGCTTCTTATTGGTCTTCCCTATTATCAGGTCATCATCTAGATAAATGGCGACCCGGGGTAGACCTTGTAAAATACTCTCTATTGTCCACTTAAAAATTGCACCGGCTGACAATACCCCAAATGACAGTCTCGTAAATCAGTAAAAACCCTTACTGATTTAAATTGTAGCATACTTCTGGGAATCCTCATGTAACAGTAATTGCAAGTACGCAGGACTCATATCAGCTTTGTGAACGACAATTTCTCCAACAATTTTCCATATAAATCCTCCATGCAAGGAATTGGGTTTTTATCCAGCTGCCAAAAGTGGTTTTATGTTTAAATTCCCACAAAGACTAACAGACCCATTGGGCTTCGTGATCGGTGCGACCAGAACTGTCTATTCTGCAAACTGGACTGGTTGATGATTCCTTCACTTTCCAGCCTATTGATTTCTGCCTCTACTTTTGCCAGAAAGGCCAATGGCACTGGGCAAGCCTTGTGGAAGAGCTTCTTGGTCAACGTACAAGGTGTCCTTAGCTGCTTTGATACAACCTCCTGAAAAACTACTGTGTATTTAATTAGGGCCATTCACACAGCCATTTTCTAATCGAAAAATGTTGAGCCAATCTAGTCGAATTTTCCTCCACCAATTTTGCCCCATCAGACTAGGGCACACGCCTTTTACTATAATCTATGGTAACTGAACCAGCTGCTTCTCATAAGAGACCGGAACCGAAGTTGTACCCTTAATCTGTAAAGGTTCCTTGGCATAGGTTCTCAATCTAGCTAGGTCTTGTGAAAACTTAAGAGTTGGAATGCACAGAATTTTGTTAAAGACTGGTTCCACGATCGGTGAAATGGCCATATTGACCTCCATTAAAACCGGGTGACTGTTTAACCAGACATTTATTTTGACTGGGTCTGATTTTGATGTTGCTAAACAACTTAACTGTTCCAAACCAGATGTAGGTGGACTCTCCAGTATGTGCACTCTCCTCGATACTGCCCTAAGTTCTCTTACTCCATTTAGGTCTAGTGGGGCTCTTTTGCTGTATCAAGTCCTGATACCAGCAGCAACCACAAGGCTTGCTGGTCTGGATCCTGAAGAAAATTTTAACCATTTGGCCGAGGCTTGACTTTATTTTGGGGTTTTGCTGTGGGCTGACCTACAGTCCCTCTGTTCAACATATGTCCTCAATGAGGCTATGCAATTGCCTTCACTCAAGTTGTGTTCTCCAAGCTCAGTCGGACGGGCAAGGGTGTCCGCTTCCATCACAATACCCTGCAATTCATATGCTCCACTTACAGCATTTTTCAATGGTAAAACCAATTGTAGTGCCTGTTTGAAATCCAGCTGAGCTTCAGGTAGCAGGCGTTTTTGCATGGTTACATCATTAATCCGACATATCAACAGTCTCTCAGTATCTCATCCAAAGTTAAACAAACTTACATGCCTCTGTCAGTCATGTTAACCTAGTCAAAAATCCCAATATGGATTATCCTGTTTCTTGAATTGCCGAGTAAAAGTAACAGCCACTCAGAATTACAAGAGGCTTAGGATCATAATATTCTTTAACTAAAATTTTCAACAGTTGACAGATTTAGCATCTGGTGCCTCAGGGAAAGTTAGGTTCCTAATAACTGAAAAAGCTGCAGGTCCACAAGCTGTCAGGAGAATTGCTCATTGCTTCTCATCTCCTTCAATGTCATTTGCCCCAAAAAAGTATTCTTTCCATATACTGGGCCAGTCTTCAACGAAAGGATCAAATGAGTCAAGCTTCCCAAATAACAGTGTGATGCCAGAAATGCTTACCCCAACTCAAAGATAACTGTTGCAAGTGAATTTCTTCAGGAGTTTGCTTTTCTCTTGTCGCCACTGAATTAACTCCACAGAGGCTGGTATCCCATCACCAAGTCACCTTTTACTTACACATAGGAAGTCCTTGACAAGTCCAGCTCTCTCAGAGCCAGCCCTCAAGAATGGACAGAATGTCTGACACTCCTGTTTTTATCTGTCCACCAGGGCTCCCTGATTGCACCAGATTAACGGCCCCAATCAGGGAGCCCATATTCTATTATGTTCCCCTAGCTGACCTCATTACAATCAAGACAGTAATGAAGAAAATTATGGAGATACAAGAAGAAGATGGTTTCCTCTGCATGTTACAAAAGAAGCATTGGGATAGGGGTGCTAAGAATGCACAGTCTAAGAATAAGGGGTAAGCCATTCAGGACTGAGATGAAGAATTTCTTCACTCAAAGTTTTGAACCTGTGGGATTCTCTACCACAGAAAGCTGCTGGGGCCAGTTCATTAGACATATTCAGGAGAGAGCTGGACTTGGACCCTGCCGCTAAAGGGATCAAGGGGTATGGCGAGAAAGCAGGAGTGGAACACTGAAATTGCATGATCAGCCATGATCATATTGAATGGTGGTGCAGGCTCAAATAGCCGAATGGCCTAGTCCTACATCTATTTTCCATATTTCTGTGTTTCAAACAGTGGGGTGGTTTTCACTTTTATTTGAAAGTGTTTGACTAACCTTTCCTTCATTTCCTGAATACCATGCAGGTGATGTGACTGCTTCAACATTGATCCACCCCCATTGACAAAGACATTGCCTGCAAAACAGATCCAGAAGTAAGCTCCATTCTGCAATGCGGCAGGATGCATGCTCACACCCACTGCTTATCAAGTGCCAAGAAGAGAGTCGTATTGGTGCAATTCAAGAATGCATGTGGCCTGACAGGTGAAAGAGGAAACAATTCAGCAACATTCCTTTCTTTTCAGCAAGATCCAGGTTCTGTGCTACAAGTGACTTTCCAAATGAATGGTTCCTTCTTACTGCAAGGAAGTCCAGAAGAAGTGACAAGAGGAACTAATATGAACAAGCAGAATTGACAATTTCAGCCAATTTTTCATAACTTCCTATAGTTAATTAAAGATGGATTTTGAAAAGGCTCAGGTCTCCCAGCTGGAAATGCTTTTCTTACCAGGAAATTAGAGGTGAAAAAAGGAAGAGAAGTGATTTTGAAAGGACACTTTAAATAGTTCAAATCTAAGTTCTTTTGAAAAAGAAAGCTTTCGGCAACTTTTGCATAATCTTAAAAGCATCATGCAATGTTATTGACTAAAAGGCCATATTTATTCTGTACTATACAGAATGTTTCTGTATTGACTTTTTAGAGATAAAATCAAGATTCAACCTCTGGCTACAGTCCCAGAGGGGGTGAAAAGGCCCTTTACATATAACATTCAATCAATTGCTCAAATGAAAATCTACGCAAAGTATTACATTCAGCTTACAGTTATTTTCAAAAGATGAATGTTTCTGAAATCACATGGATTATATAAATTTTAGTATCTTGCATTCACAAGACCACCTTCCTATCAACAATCTTATGACATTTTCCATCTAAGTGTAATAATCCCATGGCTTGATCAGTACCAATTGCGAATGTTTTGCCGTTTTTCATTGTAATGTGATTTCAATAAAATAAATTAGAATAGTAATTTTTTTTTATGAATTAAGCCTTAAAAATTAGATGCAGGTCTGTGAACCTCCAACAATGAGCATGCCGCCTTACCTTGCTCCTGAGCGTAGTAAGCCAAAAACAGATCAAGCTCTTTCACCGATACAGTTATGTGATGGGGCTGGACACAGAGTAGTGGATTGGCGCACTGTGAGGATTTGACAAGACGTTCCCCATCAGTACTTTCCAATGGGATGCCTTTAAACAGGATCACCATTACTAGATCCAACCGCCACACCTTGTCAGCTTGCCGTAGACAATCGATTCTTCGCATCTTGCCTTTCTGATCAGGGTTGGACAGGACACAGCAAGAGTGCTTCTTGCCTGTAACAGTGAGCACAAAATCCTCCCGGTACTCCTGCCGGATGTCCTTGCGGAGTTTCGCAAGTAACCTTGATGCCCACTTTTGCTTGATTTCTGGCTTCTCACTCAGCAGCTCATCTTTCACTGCTCTTTCTTCATCCTTCGACATTCGTTTCTCGTGCTTCTTGAAGTATTTGCGTTTTCGGGCTTGTAAATTAAACCATGTATATGCAATTGCACGAACATGTGGAAGAAGTGCTTCAATAAATGGATGGAATTCATCCTTTAATACAAAAGGCAGAAGAATAACAGAAAGAAGTCAGCAATTGTAACAATTTTATTTTGATCACAGTTACAATAAGAGAAACCTGAAAAGCCAACACCTAAATAAGATTATACATTTGACTTTGGTTCTTTTTAATTTTATTACAAGGAAATTATATTTTCAATGTTTAATAATGTCCAACTAGAACATTTACATTTTGGTGGGAATATGGGGCTCTATCATAATATTTGAGAAAACCAAAAAAAAACTACTTTAAAACAAGTAGCCAAAAAAGGATAACCAGCGTTAGTTGGACTAGTGAGCAGAACAGGGAATATAGCAATATTTTTTTCTCCTCACTCTGTGGAGATTTGCCAGCTAAATTCTATGCCATGCAGAGATTTCAGTTTACCAACAGATCTGACTTTTGAGGAACCTCTCAAGAAATTACTGGAGACAACAGTTCATGTGCCATTAGATTCATCCCCAGATCTCATCAAACCTTCTGACATTCCTGAACCGTAGTTCAGTTCCAGTCAGTAACTACAGAAATCTTGACATGATCAGCAGGGCCCAAGATGTGCATTGGGTGGGGGCAGGAGGGCTGTTGTTACACCTTTGTTGGAAATTTAAGATGGTTAGGAACGTCAGAATAAAAGAAGTAATGTAAATATTTCTGCCAGAAACATTAATTCCTCAGTCAATTTCCGCTTTGCTTTGTACTTTGTAGATTTTTATGGAACAAATGCCGCTTCATTTGCTACACTGATCACTCATAGTGATTATTCTAAAACTTTTTAAAATAAAGCTGATGTTGGACAATGAAAATGATAACTTGGCATGCAATTATTGAGGAGACGATTATCACTGGACTGTTAATCCAGACAGCCAACTAATGTTCTGGGGATCTGGGTTCAAATCCTGCCGTAGCAGATGGTGGAATTTGAATTCAATAAAAATCTAGAATTAAGAATCCAATTATGACTATGAAACCATTATCAATTGTTGTGAAAAATCCATCTGGTTCACTAATGTCCTTTAGGGAAGGAAACTGCCATCCTTACCAGGTCTGGCCTACATGTGATTATAGACCCACAGCAATGTAGTTGACCTTAACTGCCCTCTGGGCAATTAAGGAAGGGCAATAAATACTGGCCTAGCCAGCAACGCCCCGTCCCGTGAATGAACAAAAAAAAATTTTATGTATTTGCATGCTGCATTTCAGATGCCAATATAAGTTTGCTTAAAATTTTATTTTTACAGCTCCTTACAACCTTATATTGCAGTTTTGACTGTTCTTCTCCAAGTGTGCATGTATTTCTCGTCAAACTGAAATTCTTTATTTTGTTTGATTATTTATATTTTAACAAATTATAGCTGTAGATCATGTAGTAACGAGCTTGACCCTAAATCATCATCTTCATCAGGAACAGGTTAATGCTTCCATAGACTCAATAGACAAATTTCAACAAAATAAAATTCCTTTCCTATTCCACAACATTTTGTGCTGCTTTATTCTACTCTCTTTTTCCCCTAAAATTCAATCCAGTAAAGTGGTTTGTCGCATAAACGGGATATGCATATACAAATTGAGAATTTGATTGTTATATGTTATCTTTCTTCAAGGCAGGAAACTAAAATCAAAATAAAATTTATCATGACCTTGGTGGTTTAGTATAAAATAATAAGACAATAAAGAGTTAAGCCACAAATTTCTTTTTGCATGAATAGCAGCTCTGTTCTGGGTAACCACAGCCTCGACAAAACGCTTCAGCTCCTCGCCTGTACTCCCATTGTTTGCTTTTCAAAATATCCATTTACTGGGGCATTTTGGTTTCAAATCAGGTGCACAAAAAGAGTAAAGTTGTTTTTTCTAATATTTATGCACTTCAAATGGCAATGAACAATTTACCTTCAACACTTTTAGAACTTTTTCACAATGCTTACCAATTGCAGGCCTACAAAAATCTGCACCTGATAATCTGAGCTAGAAACATTAAAAAAGTTTCAAAAATGTCTTGAGCTACAAAAACAAGATTTTGTACTACGCACTGATTTTCAACACCACCACCCTCCTCCACTCCAGCATTTTTTTCAACTTCAGTATTTCAAAATGCAATTTCTCATGTTGGTTTAGTATGTGCAGAAATAAATTAGAACCACTTCACTTAACCTTTGCACGGTGTTCTCCATGTAGTGTTTAAGCAGCTACTTTCAATCCTAATTCTTCACATAACATGCAAACCTGTTCATGAAAATTCTTCCTTGTTTTACTAATGGGTTAAGTGGAGCTTTATTTTTATTGGCAGATAGCTAAATATTTTCTAAAAGAAATTAAAATTTTACAAAATTAATTTAAAATAATAACTTGCATTTATTATGACTTTACAGATCCTATCAATTTATTAATTAAATGCAATTTATTAATTACCATTTAATTAATAAATGCTATAGGGATTTTCAATAACCATAAGACTACACAATTTCCATGTATAAGAAGTACCATATTATTCCCTGATTTACAATCAAATACATTTACTGTATTGTATTCATTTATCACAACAATACTTCTTTTCGCCCACCTTTTCAACTCTCAGAAAAATTAAGAAATACAAAGTTATCTATTTGCATTACTCTCCACAACAATGCATCTTTTTCTGCAAATTGAACTCCTCAAAAACATTAAAACCTTTTTGAAATAACTCATGAGCCATTCAACTAAAAAATATTGGCTCCAAAATAAAAGAATGCAAATATCATTTCTGCTCTCATTTAAGATGACAAACTTTGAATTAACACTGCTTTTTATGTCAACCAAGACAATCTTATGGCAAGTTTTCTTGTCATGCCAGTGGTGCTGCCTTTAAACAGCCAAAGTCACGACAACATAACTGAACTCAAGTTATGTTGTTTGGTAGATTGCCATGGACAACCAAAGCTGTACAGAAATGCACTTAAAACTATAAACTGATCGTTTTAAACTAAACACACACGTAGTGCAGAAGTTACAAATTTTTAAAAAGTGCTTAACCAATTGCTACTTGTCACCATTGCCAACATCAAAAATGAAATATTTTTCTTTCCCATCATTTTAATCAACTAATTTCTTTTAAAAATGGGCATTTCTGCTTCCCTATCTAGACAGGTTTCAATTTTCCTCTAAAATAGTATTTACATTTTAAGATGCCAAAACACTGTGAGTAAGAAACTGCATCTAAGCACAAATACATTTACCCTTGCCATAATAGTAGCTTGTGTAAAAACGTTCAAATATATTTGTGGCTCTTAAAATTAAAATTAAATGTATTTAAACCAAAATTTTGTAGTTTTTATTTCAAGGCCTGCTATTTTATAAAAAAACACAATTGTCAACACTGGCCAATAAGTGGAATGTTGCAAGGTTATTCAACTGAGGCTAAATCATAATTTTTTCTACATGCATAGCTCAAACAAATCACCAGATACTGAATAAAATAGTAGGCCAATCGTATGCAAGAGCATTGATTTATAACTTTGCTTCAACATCAAAATTTGTTAATGAGCTATGGGATATTCACAGAGATCTTCATGTCTACATGCCACATTTAACACAACCATATATATTTTGATACTAAAGAAAAATTGTTCATTCCCTCCATTTTTATTCAATGTGTCACTAAGCATGTGAAAATGTAAGTGACAATATTTTACAAGTAGTGCTTTAAAAGACTTTGTTAAGACTACAATTATATATGGTTAATTTATGTTTGATCATCAATTGCTTCTCTTTCAATTGACAATCATGGAATACTAAAAAATAATACAGGAAGACAGCTATAAATTATTACATAAATGTTGTAATGCGATATTACACTGCAAAAATAATCCACAAAAATGTGCTCTTAAATTTCAAATTGCAATTTGCTATTTTTACTGCAGTCAGATGCATGAATAGAATAGGAACAAAATGCCCAATGTCTTCAATAGTTATAAAATTGATCATTATAATCCTTAAATCCTTCAACTTCATACTTCTGTTTATTCCAATGACCGTTATGTCAAAAGTTATCTGTTACATTTTGCTCCTGAAATAATTCAAACTTAATTTCTTTGAGCAGTCACATTTTGTAGAAAACAAACCTATCTCGGTTAATCACTTCCACACGCCAAACAAAACAGAAAGTGGGAAACAAAAAGTGTTAGCTAAACAAATGTATGACTGTTCTCAATTATGAAAACCACATAATTTTCTATCTTTGTGCCCAATTCATACATTAACATAGCATTGTGTTCACTTGTTCTTGGCTAAAAGTACTGCTTTTACCTTTCTGAATAAGGACTCACAAATTAAAGGGACACATTTGTGTTATGTAAACAAGCTAGTCATACTTCATTTTAGCAATTCTGGAATTAAAAACACCACAATATCTGTGATGCTTGTTACAAATAGTTTTAACCTGCAAACATAGAATGAAAATGAATAATAAGTAAATATGGCACAAGAATTTGGCTAAACTGTTTTGGTTCACCTACTTTTTGAGTTGTGCTGTTTAATCAATGTAAAAAAAACTCCAGAAATATATATGCCAAAATACAGCCAAGCAAAAAGCAATGTCATTCTCAACAATTAAATGTATAAATTTTGAATTGGGAATGTTACAAATAGATGTCCTTTGTCACATAATCTACCTTTTACAAAACAAAATCTCCTGCACTTACTACCATTATCTTTAGAGCAAAAATTAATTCATTTTGTTGAGAGGAAGCAGCCTTCATGATTGTCAATCTTTGTTGTGGGTATATTAATATGTATAGCAACTACTTAAACTAATAAATAAAATTACAATTCTGATATTAAAAGATTGACACAAATGAATATTCAAATTCCAAAATTTTGTTGTACCTCACCTATCAAGGTGATTGACTGCATTGCTTTAAAATCTTTGTCATATATGTAAAAAAAAGTTTAATTGTAGCTAATTGAAGAAACATTTTTTTAAAACTAAAATATTCTAAATGCGTCTTCTGTAATACCTCAGCTGCAAGTCTACCAGTTTTTAATTTGTGATTATATCTCATACACACTCATCAATTTTTTCAAAATGTTTTAACAGATTATTGTGGATATAATTACTTAAACAACCAATTCCAGGTTCCCCCACCCTTAGGTATCTATGCTTCCAAAATGTGATTCATTCCTTATTCCCCAAATCCAAGTACTGCTTTTTATAGAAGGATAAAGATTTTCCAGAGGAACAAAAATATTTTAACACTGGAGCAAATACTGTTCTTCATTCAACCCTCTCAGAAATTTAATGTAACAGAAAGGCAGCCATTGCTAAATCATTCTATAAGTGTTTTTTTTTTCAACATGAATAACTAAACATTAATGGAATGGTGAAAAATAAGCAGATAATGAACTTTTTAAGTAATCTCGTAATGAAGTCACTTTGCAATACTTAGAACGCAATGTCAAGCTGCCTCTCAGTGAGCGAGCTCGTTTACTCACAAAAGCACCGAAGCATATATATAATTTAATTCTCCTAAGTCCAATGACCCTATGTACATATCATTATAGAAAGTTATATATATGATGACATGTCCGGGAACTGCCGTTCAAAACTAAGTGGAAACTTCAGTAAATATACAGTAATGTAGCAAAAAATGGCTCTCTTAGTGAGTTAATTTTAGGGCAAACGATAACTTTATTTATGAATGTTTCATCAGCGATGGTACAATTTTGCAGTAACCAAATGATGGAATTCGTCGCTTTTAAATAATAATAGTAATACTAATAAAAGAAGGGGAAGTAAAAAGCAAGTAAAAAGCTAAAAATGTAGGTTCGCTGGCAGGTACATTGCTGTAGATGCGTGCTATTTCTATCTAAAGATGTTCCCTGCAGCGACTGCTTTCTCCAGGGTCTGGTCACTTTGGTAAGTGACACATCCCTATCCATTTGCTGCCGGTTCGCTTCCGAATCTACAGCAATAATCCGTTTGGCTGCCACTTCTGCGCGCGCGTGCGTGTGTGAGAGAGAGTGAGAGAGAGAAAGAGATTTTGTTTTTTTTGTTGTTGCTGGTAAAGAGCCGGCTCTGCGGCACTCCTAGCTCTTCCTAAGCTGTTCCAGGGAGAAACTCGCCGCGATCTGCAAACTGCCAGAGCAGTTAAAAGTAACCCACCACGCACTGCGACCCCTACGCCCAAAAAAATACACAAATCAATATGCGGTATTAAAAAATACAACTACCTGCGTGAGGCAAATCGGAGAATACATCATCCCGGTGGTAAAAAAAACAAAAGACAAGTCAAAACCACGATCAACTCCAACAGATGTTAGGGAGAGGAGGCTCCGTGCAACGTGTTATCCATTCATATTCTTGTCGGATTTCAAAAAAAAACTCTAATGTGGAGAGTCGCAAAGTCTGTCGGTATTCGCGCCTAAAGATCCGATGCCAAGTTTCCCGAAGCAAAGGGGAGAAAAAACCTGGAGTCAAGATTTGTGAATTTTCCAGTGGGATATATATCCTGGATGTGTTTGCAGTCAGTCAAATGGTGCAGCTCAGCAAGCTGCCAGGACCGAACACCCAATGCTAGACTACAGCACAAATACCAGGCGAAACTTTCCATTCACTGCAGTTATAAACGTGAGGCTGTTGAGCAGCAGAGCCTGGCACCGGGATTGATCTGGGATGGGGGGAGTGGGGGTGGGAGCTGGCAGTTTAGGAGGAAGAGGAGGGTTCACCAGGTACAACTGCTGATTTGCTTCTCCAGCGTTTTCTTACCGGGGGGAGTCGGGGGTGGGGGGGGGAAGGAGCCCCTCGTTCCCTCCCTCTCCCCTTAGAACTGCTCTGGCAGCCTCAGCAATCTTCTTTAATATTTATTACGCAAACTCGACTTCCTCCTCTCACAAACTCCAATCCACCAAGACCCTGAACTTCTCAGTCAGTCTCCCCAGAGACGGGATGTTCACATTTTTTTTCCCTAAAACAAGTTGATGAGGCTTTTATTTTCGCTATTTTATACACAAGCGAAAGACCAGCACCCACAACAAGACAGCCAAATGCAAAATACCCAGGTGGAGAAGCAAGAAAAAGAGCACTTTCTCCAGGAGCAGGACTGGGCCCTGAGTCATTCCATTGAAAAACTGATCAAAAATTCAACTCAGCAGCCCCTGTCACCCATCATCCTGGCAGCAAACTTTCTGCACTTGCCAGAACTTCTGCACTTCCCAGAATAAGGCACACATTCAAACTGTGTTATATCCATATATAATCCTCATTGTGCCCCTGCACCAAAAGATTTCAACATGCTTCAGATAATTAGAACTCACTGGCTAGAATTAATCCCCAAGAACAAACTATTAGCCTTGTGGTGTGATTTGTGTGCCGCCCTTTAACAAATGCTTTCAGTACGTTCGCAAAGATTAATGGGTGTTGGGGTCTGCTGAATACATACTAATAACCTTTTATTTTGTCCTCACCGGAATGCAATTTGAAATCTGCATTTACACAAATATGTATTGCGGGCACACTCAAAACAAGGTGTTGAAATGAGAAATATTTCAGTAGTTATCATAGTGGCAATGTTACCGGGTAGGGCGAGGAATCGCAGAGTTTATGCTTTTGTAATGTCTAGGTGACAGCCATTTTCCCACCGTGCCTGTATATTGGAATGGTTCATATAATTGTTTCTCTACGTATCCAGTTACTTTGATCTGTTTTGAATGTGTTCCGTATCGGGACAAAAATCATCCGTTATTATTGCTTGGTGTACCGTAGAATTAAGCAACAGTCTTGGAGTTTCAAACTACGAAGTGAATAAAATTTTGATTTAGACATTTTTAATTTTTTTTAAATATACGTTTCTTTGCGATTCGAGTTTATGTGCGGGAGGAAAGCCCATTGATACACGTGTCGTTTTGCAAAGTACAGTTAAAAATATACTTACGGGAGAGTAGATACCTTGAAATCGATCTTGTTGCATTTGGTACCCTTTTTAATTGCTGTAACCCGTTTAACTGTATTTCACTGTAAATTCGAATTAAACTACTCCATTCACTTTGAAAGCTGTTGCCTTCTTTACTGGGGTTACTTTCACTCCTTAGTTTATAATGGACTTTAACCAGTTTCCAACATTCTCTATCCAGTTCGTCATCAAATCCACAGTGGTGTTGGAAAGGTAACATTTCAACAGATCTGTGCACTTTTACCTAAAAGAGGTTTAATTATTAACAAAATACATCTAGTAATTTATTTTTTCCACAAAAGTGCACCTGTTCAAACTCCAAGGCAGGATAACAAAAGTCTAAAACCTCTGACAAAGTCAATAGTAATATTTATAACTATATGTTGAACTATATGTTCTCTTTGTGAATCACCGTTCACTGAACTATCCGCAGTTTTAGTTTGTTGTCGGTTGTCTAAAGTTTTCCGATCTTAACTGAACAGTGGGCTGGAAGGAGGGGGGAAGGAAATCTGCAGCGAAACAGTCCCGTAGCTCGACAGTCTGTAATTTTCAGTCCTCTCGCTTTAGGGGAGGAGGGAGGTTGCGGAGTTTGGGGGGGGCGGCGGTTGGATAGCTGCGGAACTTTACAGGGTCGGACCACGGGCGAAACTTTTTGACAAGCTGCTGAGCTAGGACATGTGGCAGTTTGAAATGCTTTTCTGTCCGCCTTTTGTCCCCTCTTCCCACGCACCCCCCACCCCCCATTCCCTGATGAACCTTTCTACTGGACAGCAGGTACGGAGTAGCTGCTAAGCGTTGTTTCTGGAAAGAGTGCAGAAGAGATTTAAGTGCGGACTTCACCCTGCCCTCCCCCGCATCCCAAAATTCCTTTTCTTCCTTTAGAACAAGTATCTGAAGGAAATTGCGGTGTGGAGTGAGTTTCTTGTCTCTGCTCCAACGTTCACTGCGAGGCGAGTGCAGGGACGATGGCCCGAGTGGCCTCCTCCCGAGCTGGAGCAGTTCTGAGAAGGCGGCCCCTGAACATTCTGATCACGCCACAGCGGCATGTGGTGTCAGACAACAGAAATCCCTCCCGCCCTCATCGCCCACCGATCTATAACTAAAAGTATCCCTGTTCACCGCCACTTACTACAGATTTGGTGTTGAAAGAGGAGAGAGGAAAGTGACATCAGGAAATTCAAAACGAAAATATAACGTTAGGGGTAGAAATTAAGATAATTTATTTTCTACTTTTTTTAAAAAAGACCGCAGTGTCTGCTTCCAGCCAACAGAACGTTGCCATCAATCTCAAATTCTTCTGGAGCTGTCGAGCCAAGCCAGAGGAAGAGAGGAGAGAAATCTCAAAAGTCGGGAAACCTGCCAAGCTCAGCGCTTTTTTGGACGCCAGCACCAACCAGGACTGATCCATTCCTAGCATTAGAAACACATCTGATAACGGCGTGACCTACATCAGGGAGGGAAAGGAGGGGGAACTGAAGGCTGCAGACATAAACAATCCAATAGTATCGCCAAAAAAATCAAATAAATAAAGTGAAAACAGCCTTTAAGGAGAGAGGAAGGAAATTCACTGAAGCCAAGTAATAACCTGAGGGGAAATTAAAACACAACATGGAAAACGCGAGGATATTATTTCAGTAACACATACCATTGCACAATGCTGCAATAAAATAGAGTTTGCAGTTTGCCTACAACGGTTTAAAAGCTTCACATCTCTCCTTAACTTCAAACTGCGCACCTCCTGCACAAACTGCGAGCAGGCTTCCCGCCCGCCCCCCGTGTCCATTCCTTCCCTCAAAGTGGCCTTTTGCAAACCGGAAGCGATACCTCGACTTTTAAAAAGCAGCGGCAAAGTCAAAGTCAGGCAGTTTGCCCTTGCCAAGTCTCTTTCTCTCTTTTCCTCTACCCCTCTTGCCGTCCTTTTCTGCTGAAATTCAGCACTTGGCTCTGATTTTGATCGGTTCTACGGGGCTGTGCGGGACCCCAGGAAACCTGCCCCCCATCGCGGAGTCATTCTTTAATTTCACCATGTTGGTTCCCCTCTCTCTTTTCTCACACTCTCTCTACCTTGGCAAATCAGTCCTTATTTTCCAGTATTTTCATCATTTTCGTCTTCACTTTATCTGCTCGGATCGCTCACACTTTTCGTTTAATCTTTGTGGAGTTTATTACATTTCCTGTTGGTCTTCCTTCTGAGGAGCTATTGCTGTCTAAGTGAAGGTTTTCCAGTTTCTCTTCATTTTTGCCCGCTTTCCAATCTTTCTTTCTTGTATGAATGTTTTGATTTCTCTCTGTTCGTGTGACACTTTCAGTGCTATGTGTTCACTTTATAATTTATAATTCCCAGTTAAGTCAGTCTACCCTTGCTCATGATTTCCCAACCCTCCCCACTTTGTTTCTTTTGGTGCTCAGACTGCTCAATATATTGGGGTGACGGAACTCTGCAGATTCGAACAGCAGTTCCCCACCCCCTTCCTTCAGCTGTCGTGCAACGCAGAGGGCGGGCAATATCTCCATAGATCTGCTCGAATGCAGCAAGCAAGCGCCAAGGAGCAGTCTAAAGTTAGCTAGGTTGTAAAACCAGAGCGGGTGTGTGGGGGGATGGGGGTGGATTTTTTTTGCAGGATTTGTGCTAAGTCATTCTTAACCGCCCCCAAAGATGATTGTGCTTGCTGTCTTGCAATCCAATTTGTTTCGACTCACAAGTTATTTTCGTGGTATTGTGTACAGCAACACAAATAAAGCTGATACCCGGACGTGCAAATTCCTACTTCCAAGATCACCAGCAGCCCGCGGGCATTATAAGAAAAGTTTTAACCAAGTATGCATTCAATGTATTTTCTACTTAAAATTAAAAGACCTGTCTAGTATATGTATACGATGCCCTTAGTATTTAAATTATTATTCATAATCCAGAAAAAAAGTTTCCACAAGGTCACTTAAATACATGCAGTGATTGGGAATTCTGTTAAGACATTTTATAAAAATAAACAGACAATTGGAGATCCCGGATTTATTTTATTAGAAGTATGAGACCACCACGTAACGATTGGTCCGAACTTGTTTGTTCTATAACTCTCCGATTTTGAACCTTTCATGTTTCAAGGGCATCTCCCAAAATAGCAAATAGCCCAAGAATAGGAAAAATGATGTAGGACGATCTAACTGCATGAGCACGAAATGGTTTGCTTTTGTTGTCGTCAAAAGGGTAAAAGTAGACCAAAATATGTTTTATAAGATGCCACAAGTTTTTAGTTACCTTCATTTCAATATAAATCTGCTGCCTGTGTAGTGCAGCAAAATGAACTGTGAACTGCCATGTTTAATGGATGTAACTGAACAGTTCATGTGGCCTCCTTCAGAATGAGAACACAATCATTTTAATACTTCCTGAGAATAACATTTGTACATAGGAGGAGCTAGAAATTTAAAAACAATTAATATATCTAGAATTAAAAGTTTGTCTAATGGTGACCATGAAACCATTGTTAATTGTCATAAAAAGCCACCTGGTAAACTGCTCTTGAGGGAAAGCTACAAAAACAAAGTTGCTGGAAAAGCTCAACAGGTCTGGCAGCATCTGTAAAGAAAAAATCAGAGTTTTTCAGAGGGACCCAAAACGTTAACTCTGTTTTTTTCTCCACAGATGCTGCCAGCCATGCTGAACTTTTCCAGCAACTTTGTTTTTGTTCCTGAATTACAGCGTCTGCAGTTCTTTCAGTTTTCTGGAGGGAAGGCTATCTGACTTCATTACCTGGGACTACATGTAACTCCAGCGCACAGAACTCTCGTATTTCCCCTGAAATGAACCAGCAAACCACTCAGCTGTATCAAATCACTGTCTATAAAAGTAATGAAACCAGACAGACCGAGGCATTGACCTC